GGATATAAATCACTGTCCCCAACACCACAGAAAAAGGTGGGGTTGTTGCAAGATGTGGTCATGAAACAGGGCCAATACTATTGTACTGGCCAAAACCATAGTGGAGAGATTGCTGCATGAACCAGCATTGTGGTGAGTTACAGGGTTCTGTTCACAGAAGTCACGTATCAGTCCAGCTGTAACCTTGCAAAGTTTGGTCCTGACCCTGCACGAACGGGAGCTTTGTTATCGACTTGAATGAACACAGGATCGGGTCATTTGTCTGTGGGTTTGCTATTCTGTTATGGTACGTTTCACTGGTCCAGGCTGTGCTGCGTTTTGAGGTGAGTTTTGAGCTTGTGTTTGGCTGAAATCTCTCTCTGAAATCTAGTAATACTTTACAATATATGGACATGTTTACTATGCATCTTGGCCTGGAGATTGACCAGAGGGCATCAGTCCCGAAATGTATAGTTGCAGAAATGGCACCTGGACTGATACCATTGAAAACAGCACATTGCCCTGTGCTGGAGTTACCAGAAGGACAGTAACCCAAAGAAGCACTTGTTTGCTGCTGCAGAGACATGAAATCTCCATTCTAATGCATTGGCCCTGCTGCCTGTGCTGTGGCCCAGTCAACTAATCTTAGGCCTTGTGTATCACTGGGAACCTGCACCAGTTTCAGCAGTGGTGGCCCAGAACCAGTACAGCTGCACTATTGCAAAGAGTAGATACATCACAATTTGTACCAGTGCTGTTTCGCTGGGTTTCAAGCAGGGGTAAGCGCCACCCGTGCAGTTTGCAATAGTGCTGTGACGCTAGCAGCTTTGCTACAATCAAAACAGGTGTCCAGTGTAGACAAGGCCCTATGTAGCTATTGTTAGAATTCTGAAAGGAAAGGGGCAGTTTATTCTTTCATGCTCCAAACAGTTTTTCTCTTTAAAATGTATGGTACCGCAGAGAGAACAAGCGTGGGCTTTTACTGCATTGGAGCTGTTCTGAGTAGCTCCTTGGGCTCCTCTCTCGGCCACTTCTCAAAGGGGGAATGGGAACCTCCCCACATCCCTCCCAGCTCTGTGCTCCCCTCTAAACTCCAGCACAGCTGGGATCACCTAGATCCTGCTTTGATAGCCCTAGAACAGAAAGCGGCAGCTGCAAATATTCCGATCGACCCTCTGCGCCACCTCTGGGCACGGCAGGCCCACGTCTCTGTCAGCATCGCTCTAGGTTATCTGGCTTTCAGTCTTTCAGTCAGATAAAATAAACCACCCTGGTGTTCAGGAATAAACCGCAGACAGACACGAGCTGATCCGGGATTAGCCACTCCGCAGGCATGGAACGCCACCCAGAGGCACCAAAACAAACTGCCCGTTCAAAGGGAGCCTCTGAGGGCACCTGGAGGAGGATGTGGGTGTGCTGGGGGTGCCCGTGGAGGGATGGGTGTGAAAGCACATGTCCCGGGGAGGTGCTGAAGGCATTAGGATGTATGAACCGAGCCAGAGAGGGGCTGGGGTGAACAGCAAGGGAAAGGTGCTGGCTGCAGAGGGGCTAGGGTTGCTTCAGAGATACACAGGCTGTATTTCCCCTCCAGGTTGTATATTTTTCCCTCATTGAAAAACACTATAGGGACAGGCATTGGCCCTGGACAGGTATAACATACTGCAGTTCCCCTCTCTGCTCCCATGGCCTAGGCTAAGGGCAGCGTTTGTCTTTCAGAAGGCAATGCAGCACAGTGGGAGTTCTCTGCAGCTACCAGCCCCAGCTTGCAAGCCCATGTGTGTGCCTTAAAAAGTGCAGGGCACAGACAGCTGGCTCCCCATGAAAGCCGGCGCAGGAGAGGGAAGGGCGGGGGCCTGGAAACTTTCAGGATCTCCTCCACAGTCACTGCTGATTTGTTGTTGCAAAATCTTAGCAAGGGACTCCAGGACCTAGAGGGAAATGGAGTTTGAAACCTCCGTTGTTTCTGTCTCGAGATTGAAGGGTAAATTGGATATTTTTTTTCTAAAAAAAAAAAAAGCCTTTTGTTTTGTTTAGGGTTAAATGCAGATTGGCTTTTTTCAAATCACTTCCAGACACACACAAACCATGGCATGCAATACCCC